AGAAGTCCTTTGTCTGAGGGACAGTTGGCTAAAATTTTTTCCCAATTCATGGGCTTTCTTTTTACTCTGTTGGTGATTTCTTTTGATGTACAAAAAATTTTCAATAAGATGAGATCCCAGCTGTTGACTCTTTTAGTATTTCCTGTGCAGCTTGGTTTTTGTTCATGAACACTCTGCCTACCCCTATGTCTTCGAGATTTTTACCTACTTTCTCTTCCAATAGATTTAGTGTTTCTGTTTGATATTTAGATCTTTGATCCATTTTGACTTTAGTTTAGTGCATGGTGATAGACATGGGTCTAGTTTTAGTCTTTAGCATTTAGCATTATCTTCATTTTTAAAAGTAGAAATTGAAATTCTAAGAGATAATTGGTACAAGATTCTAGTGAAACCAGGACTTAAAAATCTAGTATAATTTCCATTATACTTGACATTTCTAACACACCACATCACTTCCAGATCATGAGCTAGTTTATTATTGAGATAAAAGTGAACATTTTCTTTAGCATAACCACAGAGCATTCTTGGATCATTCTGAAACTCAGTCTCTTTTCTGACTTCAAGGAATCAGAACTTAACTGAACCTTTCTATCTTAGTAGCCCAGTAGAACACTTTATTCCTGGGAAGTATCTAGAAAGAAAAATGCACTAAGAATATATTACAAAGCACTTTCTGTTAGGTTCAGGTTATATTTATTTTACAATGTTTAAAAACAATTTTCCAGAGGCAATCCGTCATGACCATGAGCATCACCAGTGCCTTAGCTGCAGCAGCTGGGATAACTTTCACCATCATCAGCTGCACACAACACAAGTTCTGCCAGAACCCTTCCCTCGACGGACCATGTGCTATAGGTAGAACACTTCTCCTTGTAAGTGATCCTATTTTGCATGAGGAATTTTCATAATAGTATCTGAACTGAATCCAGGATGCAGTGGTGCATTAATTTTTTAACAGGGTCTCACTATGTAGTTCAGGCTGGCCTGGACTCACTATATAGTCCAGGCTGGCCTCAAACGGGCAGGGATCCTCCTGCCTCAGCCTCCCAAATGCTGGGATTATGGGCATGCACCACCACACCCAGAGTGCTGCACTAACATGTGTCAGCATTTGAAATGACCATGAGAAGCACATTGTGGGACAGCGGTGAGGAGGGTGCAGGCACCGTATCCTCTGGATTTAAATCCTGGTTTTGTTTCATGAAAGCTTGCAATCTTGGTTAGATGCTGTTAAAAATAGGATCAAAAGACTCACAAAACCCTCAAGCAATATCCTGCAACACTAACTCCAGCGACTCTCTGGAATCCCTTTATGTATGAAGTCCTCACTGACCTGGGATCTAAAACCAGTATCTGATCTCTGCCTTGAATGCTTCCAGCCCAAGGCTTGCCAGGTTCCCCCCTCCCTGATTCACTTAAAATCTCAGGTCAACAGCACTCATTTTAATCCCTTCTGCACCTCACCTCTATTCTCAACACAGTCACAGCCCCCAATAGCATAGAGCACAACTCATGGTATTTTGTCACAGTAGCTATCACAATCTACTTAACTAAATAATTGTTATTGTCCACTTCCTTTACTATGATGTAAGCTCCACAAAGACCCATGCCAGGTCTCTCTTGCTCAGTGACCAAAGCCAGTAAACTGCACACAGCACAGTCTTCAGACATTTCAGCTTCATCCACAGGTGGTGAGTGCTATCACTTTTGGATAAACTGCACAGGAACAAGATGCAGAGACAGTCACCTGCCCAGGGTTAAGGGCGACCTTGGGCCCGGTTGAGCCTGGCTTGTTCTGTCTCCAGAGTTTAAGCTTTTGGGACACCATGCCATAATGTGCTGTGTCTATCTAAACCTTGCCTTAACAGAATATGCACCTTGGGAAACCACACACTAATCCAGCCTGTTCCACTCATCCAGTCTGTTCCACTCACATGGGTGAATAACATAGCTAAAAATTTTCACTTCAAAAAAATAGGTATATCCAGCTTCCCCAGGAAATAATAATGAAATGAAATCAGGTATCCTAGCACTCCTATTCCCCTGTGGCAACAGTTGGCTGGAACTGAGAGAAGGCTGCCGCCCCTGAATTCCACTCCTCTCACTCCAGGTACTGTCTCGGCCCCATGGGCATTAGAATATGTTACCGTTGCCTTATCAGAAAGACAGGGAACTCATGCAACGTCTGAGCTATGGGTTTTCTCAAATTTAGTCATAGAGTGTAAGGGTTTCTTAGCTTTTATCTCAAAGATGATACCACTTTCATTTCATTTCTCCTCCCCATGTACAGGGACTCCTGTCAATCTTATTCATCATCAGCATTGTCGAGTTCAGCATCTCGGTGACTATCACATCCTTCAGGAGTAAGTGCTGGACGTGGTCAGACGAGGTATGTTCCATGTTCCAAGAATGGATTGCCTAAGGATGCTCCAATGTGACTTCTGGTCTGTTAGTGGACAGAGTAGTATATGATGATGCTAAGCTGACCCTTTCAAAGTACAGAAGGCTGCAGGGAGCTGATTTGAGACAGAAGCTCAACCCCAACCCTTAGCACAACTGTGCGTTTCTATCTTGACCTATCCACTATGCTTCACCATCTTTGTTCAGACATAGGTCTCATCTCCCTGCCAAATATATATAACCTATCAGACTGCCTGGGCTGTTGTAACAGTGTGAGCTGATGTCCTCCCTGGAAAGGAAGTGGAGAGCAAAGCGCGAACACTGACGCTGAAGGCTACTCATAGTAGACACTGCTGTTCTTATTTACCAGATGCTCACATGCCGAGCACGCTCTACTCATGGAGAACAAACTCAGTGCCAACATGGTGACACTCTTAGGTCACGCATGAAGAAACAAACACGCAGAGGTTAAACCACCTCACCAGGGTCGCAGAGCACCAGGGTTCTGACTCGGGGAATACAACTCCAGGCTCTGCTCTCTAAGTTACAAGTATCAGTCTAGGCTCTGTCTGCAGGGATGTTCCTTCTGGTTTTTTGAGATCCACTTTATCAAAAAGTAATCTATAAACAATAACATGTACCCATTTTAAGTCTACCATTCACTTAGCTTTTGGCAAATTCTAAGCACCTTTTTATCAAGAGATAGGGCATTCTTGTCAGAGCAGGAAGGCTCGTTTGCAGCCACTGTCTTCCTCCCCTAGAGCAGTTCTGACTTTCCAACATTCCACGGACATGGAATCTCAAATAAAGACTCTACAAGCAGCTTCTTTCACAGAGAAACCTGTGTTGGAGATCCACCTCTGCTGTTGCATCTCCAAAGCCCATTCACTTTATGCACGAGTACCCCTCAATTTGTTTATCTGTTTACCTCTTCATGGATATTTGGATGGCTTAAAGTTCTGAATTATAAATTGCTAAGACATTTGCCTTCACATCTATATGAGAAAGTACGATTTCACTTCTCTCAGAGTGTCATATCTAGGATTTGATCGCAAGATCGATTGTGTATTAAATGAATGTTTATAAGAAAACACCTAACAATGGTTTAAAGTAGCTTCCCAGTTTGCACTCTTATTAGCAGATTGTGAGAGGTAGGGTCACTCCCTATTACCACAGACCCTTGAAACTGTCAGTTGTATTACTTAGCAATGCTAATTAGTGGGTGGTTATATCGGTATAGTTACAATTTGCATTACCCCAGTGACCAGTGATGGTGAGACCAACTGTGAATTTACCATCTATCAGTGTATTTTCTTTTGCGATGTCTCTGTTCAGATCTTTAACTGACTTGATTACTCTGTTTTTTCACTTCCTTTTCTTGTTGCACTAGGGATTGAACCAAGGACCTTCACTCTGATCAACATTCCTAATCCTTTTGACTTTTTTCTTTTGAGACAGGGTCACTAAGTGGCTAAGTTGCCCAGGCTGAACTAGAACTTGTGATTCTCCTGTCTCAGCCTCCTAGAGTGCTGGGATTATGGGTGTGAGCCACCATACCCAGCTGGATTATTTATCTTCTTCTTATTGAGTTATAAGAGTTTAACTGTTTCTTAGCCCCAGTCCTATTTTTCAGACATGTGTGTTGTTAGCATTTTCCTCAGCCCACTACTGGCCTCTCATTTTCCTTTTCCTGTTTAATGTTGCTAGTGCACATTAGTTAAGTGGAAATCAGGGTTCATTTCAGTAGATCGGTGCGTGCATGCCACACGCTCTGACTCTCCACCATTCCACCACTCCCCTCTCCCCCAGTCTGTGTCCTCATCCTAGACTCTTCCTTCTATTTTCTTGTCATCTCGCCTTTTTTCCTCTAAATCTTTTAGATTCCATATAAGGGGGAGTGACATTTGACTTTCTGAGTCTAGTTTATTTCACTTAACAAAATGGCCTCTGGTCGTTTCCCTGCAGATGATATGGTTTTGTTCTTCTTTAAGGCTGAATAATATTCTGCTGTGTTTATATACCACCTTTCTTTATCCATTCATTTGTTCACAGGCCACTAGCCTGTTTTCACAGCTTAGCTATTTGTGAGCGCCAGAAGAAATGTCAGTATGCAGGTATCACTACATTTTCTTTGTCTTCAGTTCTTTGGGGAATAAACCAAGAAGTGGTGTAGCTGGATTAAATGATATCCATATTTTTCATTTTTGAGGAACCTCCAAACTGATTTTCATAGTGACTCTACTAGTGTATAGCCCCCAACAGTGTCAAGAAGTATCCCTGAGCCTACCTTCTCACCAGAGTTTATTGGTTTTTTTGTGTTCTAGATGATAGCCATTCTGATTAGGATGAGCAGGAATCTCAGTATGGTGGGTTTTTTGTTGGTGGTGGTTTTGGGGGGTTTTTTCTGTTTTTATTTTTTGTCTTTTTGAGACAGGTTCTTGCTATGCAGTTCAAGCTGGCCTTGAGCTCACTTTGTAGCCCAGGCTGGCCTCGAACTTGTAACAATTCTCCTGCCTCAGCCTCCCGCTCAATATGGTTTTGATTTGTATTTTCCTAACAGCTAAAATTATTATCATATATTTATTTGCCATTTGTACTTCTTCTTTGGAGAGGTGTCTATTCAATTCATTTGCCCATTAATTAATTAGATTATTTGCTTTTTTGGTGTTAAATTTTTAAAATTCTTTATTTTTTTTTATATTAATCCCTGATAGAAAGAGTAGATGGCAAAGATTGTCTCCCATTCTCTAGGTTTTTTACTCGATGGATTGTTTCCTTGGCTGTGCAGAGCTTTTTAATTTGATGTAGTCCCACGTGTTGAATCTTGCCAGCCCTTTTTCATTCTTAACAGTTTATTTCAAGTAACAAATATGATTAAGATCAATTTATTTTTATAGTTAGTTCTTTTTGTGCTCTAATAAAAATTTTCCCAAGTCCCCAAGACTATAAAATTTTCTTCTATATCTTTAGATAACAATGTTATAGTTTTAACTCATCTTTGGTTCTATGATGCATTTCAAGTTAATTTTTGTGTACAATTATGAGGTAAGCTTTCAATTAATGCACAATCCCCTTCTGGAGATATCCAGTTGTTTTCACACCATTTATTGAAAATATACTGTCTTCCTCCTATTACCTTGCCATATTTGTTGTATGTAAAGGTTTCTTTTGGACACTTTATTTTGTCCTACAGGTCAGTACATCTACATTTATACGCTACCTTAATTTCTGTAGCTAGAGAGCCATTCCTTTGAAGTCTGGGGGAAGCCTCCCTGGCCCTCCAGCTCTGCATTTCATGCACCAGTATATCCAGCTTCATGTCAGAGATACTCAGGCTCTCTTGGACCATGGTTGAAGCAACCTCTGAGTCCCGTAGTGGCTGAACACAATGACATGAATTCCAGGGAACCAGTGCCCTAGGTACCCCTTCTCAAGCAGTGGTCCCAGTGGGCCGTCTTCTCAACTGAATGGTTAATACTTCGGCATCTTTATGGTGGGGTTTGCTGATTCTCAAGCGGCGGTCTCAGTGGGCCATCTTCTCAACTGAATGGTAAACACTTCGACATCTTTGTGGTGGGGTTTGCTGATTCCTGGGATGCTCTCAAGACAACTGTCTTCTTGTCCCTGTATACACTATTAAGTTTCATTTTAGTGGTGCTATCTCTTGAGTTCTACTTTGGCCCCAAAATTACAATTGTTCCTATTGGCCAAAATTTAAGTTTTTCAAATTTTTCTGTTCTGTTTTTCCCCCATTTTCATGACTAACTTGGCTTAAAGTAGCCACTAGTATCTATGCTACAGCCTTAATTTTGAGCTGTCTGGAAATTTCCTCAAACAGGTTGGTCTACCACCTTTAATGTCAGCCTCCTGCAAAGTCTCAGGACATGAGCAACATGTAGAAAAATTTTCTGCCAGAGTGCAGCACACATGTCCTCTAGTCCAATTTCCAATAGAGTCCTTGTTTACAACTGAAATCTCTCCTGAGCCTGGCCCTTACTGTCCACATTTCTATCATCATTCTGCTCTGCTGAGCTCCACACAGAATCACCCATCAAGATCCCCATACAGCATTCTATGACTTCTCTAGACCATGTCTCTAAATATGTCCAAACTCCTTCCACAAACCAGTTCCAAAGCCTTCTGAACATATGGTCAGATATCATCACGACATTGATCCATTTCTCTGGAGCCAGTTCTCTGTATTAGTAAGCATCCACTGATTGGAACACAATACCTGACACCCACCACTTAAAGGAAGAGAGACTTAATTTAGCTCAGTTTCAGGAGATTCACTACACGGTTGGCAAGCTACAAGGCAAGAACATCATGGAGGAAGGGCACGGTGAAGAAAACCTGATTAGTTCACAGCAGCCAGAAAGCAGAGTGGAGTAGCAGCACCAGTGAAGAAGGAGTGAGGGACCAGATGTAGTATCCAAGATAATAACTATATATATTTTATGTACCCAAATATACCCAGAAGTGTGCCCCAGTAACCTCCTGGGCAGGTCCCAACCCAGATACTTATTAGTTCTCACACCTTTGTTATAAAGTTCCTAAAATTTCTAAATAGACAACTATTTTATCTGTGAATAGAGACATTTTTTCTTATTTTTTTAGCTCTAATTTATAGTGTAGTTTCCAGCACAATATTTAATAGAGGTACTGAGAATACCATACTTATTTTATTCCTGATCTTAGGGTGAAAAAGTTGAACGTTTTACCCTTATCTATAGCATTACCAGGAGGTTTTTCACAGAGTAAGTTTACTGCCTTTTGCAGACTTTTTTTTCTGTCACAAATGGATACTGGCTTTACAATTTTTCACTGCATGCTTCCGTCTTTATTATGTTATCTGTATATTATAAACTCCTATGTCTACGTTTTGTTTGATCTGCAAGTCTCTTACTTCAGATTGATTTTGGCATCAGGATGTATGCCCCTCCCCTTTTTCCAGTTACCTGCGCTTTTACTTGATTTTCTCAGAGTATTTCCAACATGACTCCCCTCTGTTATCTGTATATTCTACTTAAACTACAGAAGTGTACCAAACCCTGGGAAGGCCCCTTAGGAAGACTGTGAAAATAAATTACACCAAATCATTATTCAGCAGGGTGCAGTGAGTAAGGCTTTTAATCCATTAAAGTATAGCAAAGTGCAACAGGAGATTCAAGGACAGCACAACATGACCCTGGATTGCAAGACAAGGCAAGGGAAAGGGAATTCTGGGTATCTCCTAAGAAATTTCCCTGAGCTAGCCACTGTGTTTAACAGCACCATTTCATATTATCTACACCCATAACCACTGTGAAGAGTCTCTGGTGGTTATTATAAGAATAATGCATCAATTAGAGAGGAAAGCTCAGGACCTAGGACTCAACTGCAATGTATTAATCCTAGCCTCACAAGTTGACAACCCCATCCCAGGTCCCTCTGTTGTAAAACCAGGATGGTAAACTCACAGTGATCTGAAATAATGACACGAGATGATTCTGACCTTGTCTACCACCTAATAACAAGTTAGGTGCCATTAAGGAGGAAGAGAGTTAAAATCATAGCACTTTAGAGCTTGAACTGGGCCAGAGATATAGCTCAGTGGCATAGTGCCTGCCTGGCAAGCACGAGGCCCTGAGTTCGATTCCCAGTACCAAAAAAAAAACAGCTTACACTACCAGAGAAATTATACTTCATGACTCTCAAACTCTCTAAGTAATTAATGTTATAGTTCTAATTTTAAAAATTGGGGGTGCAAACACAGAAATTGTCCCCAAGGTACTATTATCCTCATACAAATAGGTTTTTTTTTTAAATTTTAAAGAGAGTAGTAAAAAAAAAAAAAGAACAATAGCAACATACCAACATCACAGACATAAGCAAAACAAAGCAAGAACATTAAAAGTGATACAGGGCTTCAAAACAGAATGCTAGGAATTAACAGCACCCATGTTTATAGCAGCACAATTTGTAATAGCTAAATCTTGGAAACAACCCAAATATGCATCAACTGAGGAATGGATAAAAAAGAGGTGGTATTTTTATACAATGGAGTATTACACCACTACAAAAAAGATAAACTCTGGCTGGGGATATAGCTCAGCGGCATAAGCACCTGCCTGGCAAGTGCAAGGTCTTAAGTTCAATTGCCGGTACTAAAAAGAAAAAAAGATAAACTCGAGGCTTTTATAGGTAAATGGAAGCAACTAAGACCATACTCATAAGTGAAACAAATCAGGCAAATAGGTTTTACTGGAGATAAAACATGTGTGGGAACAAACTAGCAGGAAGGGGAATGGCAATATACAAGGTAGGAGAGTGTTTAGAGTCTCAGTATAGCCTTGCCTACTGGATGAGCATAACGAATTCACTTCATCACTCAGTTCCAGTCACCTCAGTGAATATAACAAATCGTCTCTTCTGAGTCTCTGAGCCACCTCTGAAAGGGAGCACGGTGATTGAAATCAGTAGGGTGGACTACAATAACAACTCTCTCAAAAATAATGTCCTAGGAAAATATAGGAAGCACTGATAAAAGATTGTATCAGTCACTTAGCTATTAAAAAATGTCTTCTCTGCAAAGACAAATCTAAATGTCCGAGCTCAGCAAACCTCCCAACAGTATTCAGCTGCTGACCACGCCTCAGACTGTGTGTTCACCATTTCTGCTCTCCCTCTCCACTCTCCCTCTTATGCCTGGGGAATCCCTACTCATCAGTCAGGACACAGATTAAACGCCACTTCTGTGAGGCATTTCCTGGCTTGCTCAGCATTAAATCATCTGTGTTTCCATAAAGAATTCAGTTGCTACTTCCATTATGGCAGTTGCTGAATGATTTTATTGTGATCAATTCATATGTTGGCCAGCCTGTAATTGTGAGCACCTTAAGGGTAAAAATCTTCCTATCATCTTCAACCACCAGCATTTAGTTCACCTATGATCTCAGATTAAACATTCACATACAAGTACTGAATGGACAACTTAACATTTCTTAGAAGCTTTGTACTATTAAACACAGGAAGAGTATCTGAGGCAATTTTAACCAAATCACCCTGTTGAACATATGAGATAATAAGGGTAATGACTTTCCAATATACCACCAATGAGGTGATGATAATTTTTGATTGATTCTTTATGTTATTTTCTACACCGTATCTTAAGTCAGAATGAAAACTAATTTGGTACTATAAGAAGAAAATAATGTCAGAGATGATTCTATTGTATTAATGTTCTGCTCCCTCCTTGGTTTTGTAGGTTGTGTTTTTCTTGCCTTCAGATGCTATTAAAAGTAGTGAACAACCTGCCCCAGAAAATGCTCAACTACAATTTGATCATCAGAAAGAGTCTTATAGTTTTCATATGCCACCACAAGCAGAAATTGTTTTCTTTGGAGGCTATGCTTTCTGCAAGTTAAGATACTCAAGAAGTCCTTCAAGCCAAAACAGGCCACAACCAAACAGGGAAGGGGCTCCACCCTCTCCAAATGAACAACAGGAAAATATCTCCTCACATGTTCAATTCTCACATGAAAACACTGAGCTGAAACCTTTATTTGCCACATCAGAAGCAAGGTCCCCAGAAAATATGCACACTCACCAAGCCTCTACAAGGAAACAATTGAGAGATGAAGGCCTAAACTATCCTATTGTACACACCCCCAAAGAACAAGCTTGGGGCTTCCAGGACCAAGATTCTCTATGGCAAGCTTTTCCATCCCCAGTGGCAGAAAATCTGCTAATGAAGGACCCACCAATACAAGACGTGCAATCCAGATCCCCTTCATTCCGTATCACAGAGCCCTCTGATCTGATATATGAAAATTCATCCTCTAAAGACAAACCACCACAAGGAAAACCATCCCAAGCAGTGCCAGCACAAGATATGCTAAATGTAGCCTCAACATTCCATCCTATGAAGCTCCCTAATTCAAAATACCCACTTCAGTTATCACCAAATAGTAAGGAGCAAAACATTGAACGTCGAAGCCAGCAATCAGAAGTAATATATCAAGACATTGTAACCGAAGTCATGGAATTGACCCAACAGTGGCAATCCCCGAGAAGGCTTTCCTCAGACGCTGGAAACGTGGGTGCACAATCTTCTAAGAGTCGTTCCTTAGGCCTTCAAACGAAACATACAAAATCTCCAAGACGGAAATCCCTAGACCAGAAAATCAGAGCCTTGCTGTTCTCAAAGATGCATCCCATAGATAAGAAATCCCAATACACTCAAACCTCAGAACAGTTCCTAGATCAGCAAGCCGAAGATCGGGAGGCCAAAGGGGTGCAGTCTCCAAAGCAACAATCGAAAAATGAAGGAAATACGTATCAGCAGGCTAAAAAGGAGCAGTCCCCAAAGAAACAAACCTATGGTCAACAAGCTGAAGAGAAATCCCCAAAAGGACAGCCCAACATTTGGCAAACTGAAAGACCACACACTCAAGTGGAAGATGCCCCAAAGCAGTCATACCAAGACTCTCAAGGCACAATAAAGCAATCTCCACGCTGGTCAGCCCCAGACTCACAATCTTTTGTACAGAAATCTCAAGATCTTTTACAGAAGGAAGCCCTAAAAAAGAAAGGTTTGTATCAGGAAGTTGAAACCCAGAACACCACAGCCCAACATGACCTAGGCTGGCAACTTCAAAACAAGCAGTTTCAGGAGAAGGATCAAGATTGTCAGTCCGGAATGATGCTAACAAATGCCATGCAAACAAGAGACATCAACCTAGCAGGCGTGAACCATAGAGACCAAAAACCAATAGACACTCAATCAGAAGACACGGAACCAGCCTATCGTCCTTCTTCTAGCCAAAGTGTTGTACAAGACACAGATTTAACTTGTTTATCTCATATGGATTCAGAACAAGAGGTCCAGCAAAGCACTTCAGTTTGCTCTGGGTGCACCAAAGATGATATGAACACACAATCTACCTCCTCTTCTCTAAAAGATGATCAACAGCAATCCGAAGACTCTGACTAGCGTGTAGAATGGAGCAACAACGGAACCAAGTGACAGAGAAACAACAGTCTCCCATAAGCTATGTTCTCAACCGTGGCTGCTACCTCATGCCCTAAAAGACGATGGGCGTGCAGAACCCTCCAGGAATCCATTTTCAGTCGCAGTACGGCGACAAGCTAAACGTTGACATGGTATCAGAACTTTGATGGGGGAAGGAATAAATCACACATGAATCTTCTATCATCAAATTTAGTGTTTCCGTTTATGAGCACCAATTCATTTTACAGCCTAATATTTCACAGACCTATTTTCACCGGTGTTACTATTTTTGCTCCCTTCCTTGTGTTGTAGTAGGGGTTCACCAAGCCAGCTAAGACGAAAGGTGTCCAGGTTCTGTAAGAGTTCAAGAACCAAAAGAAGCAGCGAGGAAGAAAATTCACCGCTATCCTCCTGCTTCTGCACTAGCTCCAGTACCCCCACTTACCTTCCCTCCCTCCCTAGAGTCCAACTGAGGGCAGACGCCAGGTTTCTGCAGTGCCTAAGGAGTAAAGGCGGCTATAAGGACACATGGAAGTGGATGGAAGGGGAAAGAACAAAACGCACCCACAGACAGCAAAGGAGCTGGGGAGGCGCGGAGATGCAGGCGGAGACGCAGGAGTGGTCATAGGCGGTGACAAGCTGTAAGGGATCAGCGGCCCCATGTACTGGGCTTCCACTCACCGCTCCTCACGTCTCAACCTTCTGATCTCATCTTCTGTGGTCAAAAAAATTGTGTTCGCAAAACCTGCTAGTTACCCTCCGTCTCCCAAACCCGCTCAATCTTTCTCAGTCCTTTTTTCCCAGTCGTCTCTTTCAAAACAGTTACCCCTTTTTCCTGCAGTTTCCAGAAGCTTAGTACTTTTCCTTGCCGGCAGGGCTTCTTTTCCCTGGAATTAATTAATTAATTATTAATTTGCTGCCTGCTTGCTTTTCAACGCCAGACTCTCCACCAGTTTTCAAAGTTTTCTCTTAGGCTTGCTTTGTGAGTCGCATCCGTTTGGTCTCCCGGAAGTGTGTAGGGAGGTGCCCAGCCTGCGCATGCTCCACTGCAGGGACTCAGCTGTCCTCGGGCTGACCTCTCCCCGACCCCGGCATTGTATTCACGGCACTTTTGAGTTTACATTCTATCTCATTTATTTCTTTTGCTGCCCTCCTTTGTTTTGAAAGATGTAGACACAGATATATTCCAGGAGCTTTTCCTCCCCGTCTTCTCCGTATATAGGTACAGCACATTTATTCATTTTGATATAGATAAGAACTTTTCTGGACACTCTTCTAACAAAGAAAACGGGTACATGTGTATACTTTTTTGTACTTTTTATTTTTAAGCAATGTAAAGTTTTTCTCTTTCACTCATTTTGAACTAATCATAGACTCAGTCAAAATTCTGTCTCCCAAACTGCAAAGATGGTGCCCCTACCCTTCACCCAGCCTCCCCCTGTGATAATGCTTTGTGTAGCTACAGCACAGCATCGAAAGCAGGAAAGCGACACGGGGATATTAACTAGACAGCAGCTTTTATTCTGTTTTTACCATTTGTTATCCTACATTTCTGTGGGTAACATGAGTTCTATGCAGTTATATCTTATGCATGTATTTCTGCATCCATCACTGAAGCATGATATAAAACTTTCATCACCACAAAAACTCCTTCATACCACCCCTTTGAGTTAACGTCCCACCTCCAAGCCTACCTCTGTCCATACCAAGCACTAATGTATTGTCCATCTCCATTTTTCTGGCATTTCAGGGATATTGCATGAATGGAATCATACAGTATTCAATCCCTTGAGATTACCTTTTTTTACTAAGGACAGTGTCCCTGAGATTTATCTATATTGTATCAATAGTTTTTTTTTAATTACTGACTAGTAGTCCATACTATGAACATATCAGAGTCAGTTTAATCGTTCAGTTATTAAAAGACGTATAGCTGGACATGGCGGCACACACCTGTAATCCCAGAACTCCAGAGGCTGAGGCAAGTGGGGTTAGGGGACTCACTGGGCTCTTCTGACACAGACCTGAGCTAAAACTCCATGAGCCATTTGGCCTCCACACAACTTTGCTCCTTGGTGGGCCACGGTGTTGTTTCGTGTATCCTGATATTAGTGTCAGCGCAGTTAGGGTCTAGTGCTCCCCAAAAGGCATGACGATTTTCTTTTCCCCAGCTTAGGGCTACCCTTATGGAAAGGCTGCAGGTCCCTTCAAGGAGGGCTGGGAAGAAGGATAGCTTTATACATTTTTTGTAATATGCCAGGGTCCTTCCTTAAGAGAACCCCCTCTCCTCCATGAAAGTTGTTCTGGTTCTGTAAACGGGCTCAGTTCTGACAATTGACTGAAAGGCTGTGACTCTATTTTTATGATTCAGCTTAAACTTTTGCTCTGCTGACTTGGATTTTTTGTCTAATATACATCAAGTAAAAATTCCGGAAGAGTTCTATTTTACTTCTAGAACCAGCATGATCAACTAGTGAACACCAAAAGTCTCTGTGTGTCAGACTATCCTGATTACAGCTTTGCCTCTGCTGTCCACTATGACAGTCTGTCCACTTAACCTATGAAATCCAAGTGCTGACATGTGGCCCCACTCACCCCCTCACCCCCTCACCGTCACAGGAATCCAGTTACCCACTGCATTTAGGTTTTCACAGTCAGTGGCTACCATTCCCCAGTCAGGTCTGTGTACAGAAGGAAATCACAAAGCACTAAGCTGACTAACACTCACCCTTTTCTCTTTAGCGTTGTGAAGAGCGTGAGAGTGTAGAAAGCCCAACTGACCGCATGAGGCGAAATACTTTCTTTTCTGTCTGTAGGGAAGACACGGAACTCCACGACCTCTGTCAGGTCCCCAGACCTGTTCACATACAGAGAACCTGAATCCACTCACTATTTTTCTTTATATTTCTGGATCAGCCTAAGAGAGGGTAAAATCCCCGAGTAGTCTCAAAGGAAACATTTAATATGTATTCATAACTCAAATAGGAATTAGAGAGTTTATGTCAGAAGATATAGCCAGTGCCTGTCTTGGTAGGTGCTGTAAGAAAATTTTAATATTTTTAAAGTATGTTATACAGGAAATATTGCATTATTGCCACTTTGGAGTAGTGAGGAATCAGGATAAAAATCATGAAAACACAGTGAGGAAAAGTTATCACATACAGAAGCTTGGACACAGAGAAGACTGAGAATGCAATAGATGCAGGAAATGACAGCCTGAGACCACCTGTCAAAACAGACATCCCTGATGCTCTGCTTCCCTCATACCCACCTGCCCCTTCCAAGAAATACTTGAGAGGGATCGTGGATTCCATCATCATCATTCAGGAGAAAAGATCTAGGGCCACTGTTATTTGTAATTTAAAGAGCAAAGGAAAAGTAGATGTCAAGCAGGTAAAACTGGCTGTGGTTGCACTTTCTAAAGCATACAAATGGATGTTTTTAACAGGGAATATTTTAAACAAAAAGTTAAGAAACTTTTAAAAAGAGAAAATCAAGTTTAAGCTGCCGGAAGAATCGCAGAAAGAATACAAAGACCCTTTCTTTGGAACTACCTAGCAAGAGAGTCCAAAGAAAGGTTTAACACCCTTGACTGCGTTAGTGGACTTTGTCCAAGTGCACAAACCATGGGAACAGCCCTGGAAGAGTTTGAAATAAAAAGCTTGAAATAAAACCTTGACTTGGGAACATTAAGTAATATGAAAATATTATGTATTAATCCACAAAACACCTAAAGATGAGATCAATTCCTATGAAAACAGTAGGCCTTGGAAGATTGGAAAAAAAGAAATCTAAGGATATGGAAATAAAAGTAGTAAACAGATAGTCACTGACAAGTGCGCAGGCCTAGGAGATTTGTGAGCAAGAAGCCATACATTTCCCTAGCCACTCTGAAATAAAGAAGTGGGGTGAAATAACTTCTGAACTAACTTGGTATAACATTTTCAGTGTTCTTGTTTACTCATGGAAATGCATATAGCTGACAAAAAAACAACCAGAATCAACTTTGGAAATAATGCAGACGTAAAGCAAGGCAAAGTGGCCACCGTGATTAGAATGATAGCAAAAAGAGAAATAACGCTTATTTTTATTAATAGTACATTTTATTTGGCATCTACTATAGGCCGAGTACTTCATAGTTCACTCAAAATAACTCCGTGAGATCATTATTATCCCATATAAGAAATGCTATGTTTTAATAAATATGGAAGTTCATACAAATGTGTGAGTTAACAGATATTGTGGATGAAATACTATACTAGTAAATAAAAGACCTTGGCATTAACTCTAGGATTTTACATTCCAGAGATCATGCCTTTCTGTAATGATCTTGATCTTGCATGAACTAAAGCATAGTAAATAAATTCTCTACTGGTTGGATAGCTGTAAGAATGTCATTCTAGTTATCATGCTCACGGGGGGAGAAAGAGCAAAGCTGGCAAATGTCCAGAGCAAAAGTAAAATAGGAGGGAGGAGGGTGAAACAGCACATTATCGAGTATTCTGGAACAGACTGTGCTCAGCTCAGAGCACAGTGGCCCAACACCACATGCTTTTCATGAAGGATGATCGCGTTAGGATTCTACGTCCACGGAAAACTGAATTAGAGAAGGGCATACCCAGCAAAAGGAAGTTGAAGACCTAGGTGGCCCTTTTAAATGTCCTAACCAGCAAGTACCTAGAAGCTGGTCACAGCACAATTCAGTTGAGAAAATCTAATCTCAGCAGGAAGTACCAGAGGATGACCAGGCAGAGCACGCGAGTGAGATGCAAGTTCCCCCCTTCTAGTCACCGGTGTTCTTGCAAAGCGCAGCTCCTCCCAGGAGGATGTGGAGTCTATTTCCCTCTCCCTGAGTCTGAATTGCATATGGAATCTGCGTAAGCCAAGGGGGACACTAGCAGGTGAGTGAGCAAAGCTTTGAAGAGTATTTTCAGTTGGAGCAAGACCAAGAGTCTGCCAACTTCCAGGTCCTCCATGGGGGCCATCTGTTATGGGTGATATCTGGATGTCCCCCAAAGCCTAATACACTTATAGCTGCGGCTTTGGGGAGGTGACTGGGTCACGGAGGCGTGATACTCACTGATGTAGATGAGCTACTGGTGAGTTCATAGCTAAGTTTGGTTAGGGAATTAAAGTCTGGTCGGAGGAGATGGGCCGCTGGGGGCGTGGCCCAGAGGGTCTATCTCCTTTCTTCCTTCCTTGATCTCTCTCTCTCTGCTTCCTGCCACCATGCCATGAGCTGCTTCTTCTCTGCCAGGCCCCTCTACCAGGCCCCTCTGTTATGCTGCCCTCCCTTGAAGCCAACTGACTGTATAGACTGAGACCTCCCCTCCTTTAATTTGTGGGTGTCAGGTATTACACCTCAGCAACAAGAAAATAACTCGGACACTGTCTTAATTCATGCAACCCTGGACATTTCAGCACTGGGCCTAGATGATGAGATAACTTGGTAGAGATGAGCTGAGGAAGACCAGACCAGAAACAACCACATGTTCCATAGGAGTGTCAACAAATAAAGTTGTGGTTGTTTGAAGCCACTGCATTTCAGGGAGGTCAGTTACATAGGTGAAGCTACTCAAATGAGATGACAAAAAAAAAAAAGTGACAGGCAACATGGATGCTCACTGTGTAATTCAAAAGCTAGCTAATTAGTTTTATGGCCAGAGGGGTTTTGGCCTCTACTTGTCTAAAGACAGAAAATTGGAAATTATTCCAGTTCCCATTCACTTGGAAAATAAAATGCTTCTGTAGATCATCTGCTCCCGTCTGGCCCATGTCCGTAGCAGGAAGGTGAAACCAGCAGGGCATGTAACTTGCCCGAGGTCTTAGTGTGTTCCCAACCAAACAAAAGCTACCAGCTGGTGCCTCCCATCTGCAGACCTGGGCACTACTTAATAACCTTCTTGGGCTCTTGAGCTGCCCTGAGATTCTATCACTCTGTGACTCTAGAGTTCCGTCATTCTAAGCCAAAGCGTAACAATGGCCATGCTCCGGACAGCCTTAGCATCAGACAAGAACATGGTCTAGACTGAGCACCAACCGCATCACCTCCTTTCAGCAAAACACCAACTCTCTACCAGCATGGGTTCCAACACCACACAAAGCCCCGTATTTCTAGTACTTCCTCCAGAAGTCACTGATCTCAAATATCAGCCCACAGAACTCAGGGGCAGAATCTATGAGCACCAGGACTCCATACAGAAATTATTTACTGCAAGACTCAGTATCTTAGGGGTAAGTAAGACTCATCCCCATGTATATTCTCTTAAGGCAGGTGCAGGGACTGTGCTCTCATTACTCAAGTTCTTCTTTGTAAGTCAATAACTCCTTATGGAGAAATATAGAGATGACAAAATATCTCCACTTATATATTGACCTGGGGAGAAACTTAAAAGTTATTTGATAAGTGTCCTAATATTCACGTGAAAGCAAAAAATAAAATCAAAAGGTCAAATATTTATGATTTTTCAAGTAGAAATCATGGGAAAGTTGGCTATGACTTTTTGGTTGTTGGGATTAAGGGTCTTTAGAAGAACAGAGGTGACCTTAAGATTTCAAACCTAAGAAGGTGATGATGCCAACAACAGATCAAGAAATTAGAAAGAAGATTGGGTTTAGAGGAAGAAAGTGAGCTTGACTTAGGGCATGTTGAGGAGCATTCAAGAGGGGAATGTTTGACAAGAGGTAAGAATGTGAGTCAGGACTTGAAAATGCCGTCACTTAGAAGTCACCTACCAGTGGGTGACAATTGCTAAGGAAAAATGAGATTATTCAAACCGACAGGGTGAATTGAAAATAAAAAGGAAAGAACATACAAGAGATGATCAAAATATAGAAAGAATGCTTAAATAGAGCCAAAGGCACATTTCCATTCATCCCCCTCAAATCCTTCCCCTCCCTTAGAACACACTGTTCCCACCATTTTTGCCATTTTCTGAAGCAGTTCTGGAAGTGTTCTCTCAGTAGTGTCTTTACCAGGTGGGATCACACATACAGTGAATGCTGCTACCCAGTGTTATCCACCGGAAGGCAGGCTCATAAACCATGATGCTGTGTCCTCATCCACCTTATCCACCAGATCTAGCTCTGCGTGTCTCTGGCTTTCCCCCAAAGTCAAAATGACCGTGAAGGGGAAACATTTTGAATCCATTCAGAACATCAAGGCAGCCACAGCAAAACTAAAGACACACACAAAAGAGGACTTCCAGACACTCTAAAATATGTCTCACTTAAATGCAAGATGTGTTTTCCGACCACACCACGGGCACTCCTTCGTGGTTCACCTTTTGTTGGTCTTCCCCGTGACTCCATCCGTCTCTCCCAGCACTTGTCAAAGCTCTGCTTAGTGTTGAGGGCGTCGCCAGCGTGACGCTGGGAGGAACAAAAACGCCTGAGAGAGGAGGCGTGCTGCCAGCCTGGAGCGTGAGGACACCTCTGCAGGCTCAGGGGACCCGGCGTCTGTCTCCAGGAGGGCTTCATGACTGGCAAGGCTGGCACAGTGGTTTAGAATTCAGTGCTCCTGAAAGCTTGATGGTTAGGAGCTAGAGCGCTGGAGAGCTTGGCCAGATGCAGCTCACCCGGTGATTCCGATCCACGAGTGTGGGTCAGCCCGTGACAGCCTGTGCGAGCGCCCACGCGTCCCGGTGCTGCCAGTCCACAGACCGCGTTCTCGGGAGCGCGGACTTAGACTGTTTTCCCGGTTACCACTGTCAGAGGGAGGGGCTGAGAAAGCACCCGGGAACATCACCAAGGGGCTGCCTCGGCCTTTCCCTTATTTATGAAGGAGGGAAACTGCCCAGTCCTTTTAACCTAATGGCCAGAGTGGAGGAGAACCCACCCCACGCTCTTCCCTTAGCCTGACTTTCTTCTCTCTTTACAGGCGACCCAGATCGTCCTTGGAATTTTGAATTTTTCCTTTGGAATTGTTTTTCTCTTCACCTTGGTAAAGCCATACCCAAGGTTTCCCTTTATACTCATTACAGGATACCCGTTCTGGGGCTCTGCTTTGGTGAGTAGCCCACCCAGTTCAACTGGAAGCCGTGACAGGGGATGTGAGGGGATTCCTAGCTATGAAGTAAAATAGGTGTGGGTATACGATATGCTCTGAAAAATGCAAAACTATTAACTTTTCCTGTTAAGTCATTTCCCCATGAATTTATTAGCGTTTCAGATGTTCCATCACTGAGTCTTGAAGTTCCTTTGGGAATATTCCTTTGGGCCTTACAGCTGTTTGTCTGTCCACTAACTCATTCTAAGCTAGTTGCTATATACCGAAGCACAGACCCGCAGAACCAGCACAGTGAGGATCTTTCAAAGGGCTCTTAAAATATGTGGGTGGGTCACTTCCAGGCAATGTGACAGAGATGACACTGAGGTGTAGGAAGTACTTGGGTAACCAGGGACAAAGGAACAGCTTACACATCAGAACAGTGGAGAGGCGGGGCGGCTTCCCAAGAGATCCCTTCTAAGCACACAGAGTCATGCACCTGAGCACATTTCGTCGCATGCAATAAACACTGATTCAGCAGCTACTCAGTGCCAGAGGACAGGTGGGTCTGGGGATTCAGTGAAAGGCAGTCTCTGGCACCCCAGTGAGTGGACAGTCAGCTACCACAGGCTGTGGTGGGTAACGACAAAGGACCCAGAGGCTGCCTCGTAGACAGGCCCTGAGCAGAGTGATGTTGTCCGGAGACATTTCTAGCTTGATTGACCTTTAAAAGATTCATGGTTTATGAGGTGCGGTCGGAGGGGGGGGAATGAGGTGTGTAGGGACAAAGGGTGGGGAGTCTTGTTGGGAGAAAAGCAAGCAAGAGACTGAAGGTTTAGGAGAGTGTTCCCCATTCTGTGAACTGCAGAAGTCCGGCAGAGGAGTGAGGGTGGGGGGAGGAGCAAGAGAGAGGTCAGAAGAGGAGCTAGAAAATGAAGTGTGGAGGGGCTGGGGTCAGATACCAAGGGTCACCCAGACAGTGACGTTAGCATGTTTGACTCTCCTCTGTAAAATTTCTTGAGGGTTCTTCAGTGCTAGAAGTGTGTTAACTTCTGCTCCATCAAAGAAGACACACTGGACAGTGGACTATGGGATCCAGTCCTAGGGGTTGTAAACTGCTTGGACACTCGTGTGTCCTGGTGTCGAAGCCCAGGCCACGGTAGCCATAAAGCGGGGGTGAGGAAACAGAAGCCCAGTGAGGAGAAAGCATTTTTTCAGAGTCAAATGAATAGGAAATCTACAGCAGATTTCCAGTCCAGGGTTTAGCCCACTGATTACTTCTGCACAGTCACACTGGCAGCTCCTGCTCCCCGCCTCCCCAAGGACAGTGGGATTTGAAAGGAGAGCGTGGGAGAGGACAGGCAGAGCCCATCCTGTGGGAAACCCTCGATGCCAGTGAAGCCCTGGTCCGACATTAAGAGATTTATTCTTCTTAACAGTACATTGCTTCTGGAGCCTTCCTAATTGCATTACAAAGAAAAACCACAGGAACGATGGTGAGTTCTGTTTCAGCCTGATTACAAATTTGAAACTTTGACCAGGCGTGGTGGTGCACAGTTGTAATCCCAGCACTTGGGAGACTGAGGCAGGAGGATTGCTGAAAGTAATTTTTTTTAAGGGCTGGAGAGGTACCTCAGAGGTACCTCATTGTAACATCCTGAGAGCAATCCTCAGTAACACAAACACACACACACACACACACACACACACACACACACACACACAAAGAATCTAGCAATACAGAGCATATTGGTGCCGAATGTAAAGTTATAAGTGGAATATTTCTACTTTATTTGAAGAATCAAAGACATTAGCTATTAATTTTCAGCAAAGAACATTTGTAGTTTTAGAAAGAAATAGAAAAAGCAGAGAAGTACAATGTTTAGCAAAACACAAATGTAAGTAGGCCGACTGCCTGCATGAAAATGCAGTGTCATGCGGCCCCTCTGCGTGCCTCCACCACCCCTGGGCACCGCCTCCTGATCTGAATGGGAATTCGCTCAGCACAGAACAGTGGTGGCGAACCTCTGGCATGCGAGCCGCAGCAGGCTGTCAGATCATTGAAAACTCTGCTATGGTGTTTTTCTTGTAATGTACGAGTCATTTTTTCTAAGCTAAAACCTCAGTGTTCAAGTTTAATGGCAGGGTTATCACTCTGCAATAAATAAGTGGGTTTGAGGTTGGAGCTTGGGCCCTGGGTCTCTAAAAGCTTCGCCACCACTGCTCTAGCAGCTGCGTGGCCTCTCTCTGCCAACCAAGGCTTGAAGCCCAGAGACATGAAGTGACTTGCGTTTGACCCCACAGCTGGTCGGGCACCTTGTGCAGCTGTGACTAAAACCCTGCTCTCCCTCCGCACCCTCACTGCCCTGTCTCCAGCACAGGCCGGGCCTGAGTCTCTGTGCTGTGCTCTGATTCCATTTCAGGTAAGAGCAAGCTGCTTAATGAGTTTGCTTAGTATGCTGGGAGCCGTGGTTGGAATCATCCTCCTTGTGATTGGTTTCTTTCTCGACAAAAGCTACATTTGTGGCTATGTGAAAAACCTTGCTCCGTGCAGTGAAGTTACCTTCATATTCATGGTGAGTGTGCTGTGCTTTGACAGTGAGAAGGTGGTTTAATCCAACCCATTCATTAGCACCACTGAGCACCACTTGAGGATGACGGAGACGTGTATTTCTTTTGCTTGTGTAGAGACCCCGTAAGATGTGCTAGACATCGTAGCAAGCATTGTGGAATAGAGCAATGCACACATTATAACTCCCCATTTCAGGAGTTCACACGAGTAGCTGAGATAGAAGATGTGTGCAAAGGAATGTAGTACAAAGAGTTGCACTAAAAGAAAAACACAGGCACGGCAGGATGGCACAGTTCATAGCGCTAGGTGTACTTGAGAATCACAAGCAGAGTTTGTTAGTCTGGACTTCTGATAAAATGTGAGAGACTGAAAATGAACACTTGCTTGTGCTCCCCAAGACAGGAAGGTACGGTAGAAGGGCCTAGCAGAGGAAAGCTGCTCGGGAACCAGAGAGCAAAGGGACGAGCACAAAGGAGATGCGCCCTTCCAGGTCACACCCCTGGTGACCAGGCCACCTCCTTACCGCGCAGCCCCATGACCCAGTCCTCTTCCCACCCAGGAGTGTGTGAGGTTCCTGGGGGACATCGAGGGATAAATCATAGCAACAAGCATATCACAAGCAAAGGCGACAGCAATTTTCAGGGAGAATACTTTTGTTTCAATAGATTCAGGCGGAAGTGTTCTACTTAATGATTCTGAGGAGACTGAGCTACCTATCAGTGAAACCGTTTGGGGGAACATCTGCTTCTGAAGTTTTTCAAAAATTATAGCTTGAGACGTATAAGAGAGGTAGGGGGGATTTGGTAATATCATATCCCTCACGGCGCAGCAGTAGGCTTTCTTTTAATAATGTTTCCAAAATAACCAATGTTTTAACTATAAGTGTAAAGAATTATCAGATTAGATGGCTAGCAAAAGAATGTAGTCCACACCTATTAATGAAAAACACTGAAAATTTTGTTATTTTAATCACTGCTATCAGAATGGGCAAGACTCCAAACAGGCCCTGAGATACAAACAGAACTTCTAAGGAGTTAGTCAGTGATTAACAAGGAAGTAAGAAGATATTAGGGTATCAGGATAGGGGTGATCTTGAAAAGTCCAACCCTGCCCACCGGCACAAGCAAGCATTGCCCTAACAGGTAGAATGTGTGGGGAAAAATCTCCCCTAAAGTCAATTTTCAACATATAAAGTCTGAACAAGATAGTAAGTTTTTAAAAATATTAATGGATGGCCCAACATAATTTACCTAAAAAAGATATTAGTGAGAGGCCTTTTACTCATTAATACGGTGAAGACAGAATTATAAAATCTGTACGGAAACCCCGCCCTGTGAAGTTAGGTACGCACAGAAACACCGCGGAGAGCCGGGGGTGCAGGAAGGATGAGTGGCAGAGCTTTGGCAGAGCTTCACCGCGGGAAAAGGAAAGGACAGACCTGAAGGAATGTTAAACGCGAGGGAAAAAACAAAGTCCTGCTCATGGAAAGGGCTAGGCTTAGCTCATCGGCAGGGATGGCAAACCCTGGCCGGGAGGCTCCAGCGGTCAGGAGCTGAGGTCAGGAGCAGTGACAGGTGTCGGCTGGATCTCTGCAGTGCTTCCGCAAGGGCAAAGCGCCAACACCAAGACCACCAGGGAAATCTGTGACCACTAACAGCTGGGTATATTCAATGTTCTCAGAGCAAGAAAGTACACTCTCAGTTCAGTACCGACAGCGAAACAGGCTTGTGCCTGTAGGGCTTCATCAGCTGGAGTCAGTCAGGAGGACGCTTTAGAGCAGAGTCACAGTAGAATGGGCAGGAACTGGTTAGGATTTATAAACTAGAAGACTTCCATGAGCAGACAATGGGCTTACCTTCAGAAAAGAGGAAGGGAAGGCAGGGGAGGGGAGGAAAGGGGAGAAAGGAAAGAAAAAGCTATGTGTTATAAAGGATCAAAATACTCAAAAATTAACTCTTGGAAAAAGCTAATAAAGCACAAACATCTTTTTTTTCCACTTCTGATTATGAAACAGTAGTTTATAGCAGAACGTCTGCTTACTATATGAACTTGGAAAAAGAAATGAAAATACACACTATGGAGGCTGGGGATTTAGCTCAGCGGCACAGCGCCTGCCTGGCAAGCACAAGGTCATGAGTTCAATTCCCGCTACTGAAAAAAACCAAACCCCCCCCCCAAAAAAAAAGAAGAAGAAAATACACACTATGGATTTGCCAACAGATCAAGGAGGCCAGCGCAGTATAGACCTATTCCTTAACCGGAATATTCTCTGACATTCCTCACCAAAATTCAGATTTCAATGTCTGTTAAACCTTAAGGACAGAAAATTAACCCCCAAAAGTACAATAAAAGAAATAGTATATAACGACAAGATAAGAAATCAGAATTTTTTTAATTTTTAAAAAGAAATGAAAGAAACATATAGAGTACCACAAAAGATCAAAATACTCAACAATTAGTTCTTGAAAAACGTTAATAAAATATACAAAGCTTTTTCTTCCACATCTGGCTATGACAGTCATTTATATCAGATTTTTATTTTGCATATAAAAGAACAAAAACATATTAACAAACACACATACATTTACAAAATAACACAAAAACAATACAAGCAATACAGAATTTCAGACAAAGTGATAGGAAATTAATAATGGTTGTTGTATTATGTATTGTAAATCTCACTTTAAACATTTATTAATATACCAAAAAAAAAAAAACCCACTGTACTGTTTGAATATAGATGAAAGAAACCACAGCAACCAGGATTTGAAGTGCAAAAATCACAAAGTGATAAGCACTGAAGTTAGCTCAGAATTCTCCACCTCTTTCCTCCTTGACATATTTGCTGATTCCTAAGTTCTCCAGGATGTGGGGTTCAAGCACCAACCAATAGGGAGTTAAGACACCAAAAGGCTCAGCGGAGAAGGCGGTAGCCACACACACCTGTGACCTGAGAAACAGCTGCACATGTCGGTCCCCAAGCAAAAGGGATCACTACAGCCTGCAAACATACACTAATAAAACATTCTTTAAAAAGAAAAAGAAACAAAGAAACCCTTTCTCTTTATAAGTTATTGAAAGACCACAAAGGAAGAGGAGTGGAGACTGATAAATATCACAGGATGTTATTTGTGAAAAAACTCATACCCTAGAATTAAGAATGTAGGAAACAAACCAGCACTCACAAAACTGAAATTCATGCTTGAGTTATTTTAATCTATGATTGGATCAGCATAACCTTCCCATAATGCAATTGTCTGATGGAAGATCATTAGGTCAGTTCTAGAGGGTGATAACAGAATTTATAATTCCTACCATTTTCACATACCATGTTTATTGAGTTAAAAAAATACTAGACATGCCTAAGATAGGACTGAATGTCAGAAACACTAAAACAAGATAACAGAAATAAAGATGTTCCAGGTTGTAGAATTATTAGTCATAAACTTAAACAACCATGGCTCTCATATTCAGGAAGGGAACACATTGGAACTATTATCTGAGAATTAATTCAAATGGAATTGTAAACCCCAAAACCAGTAACTGAAATCAAGCATGCAGTAAATGGGATCAGGAGAATTAAGCATGTCAGAAGAGACAGGGGAGGGACAGGAATCGGTCCCAAGGGGGATGGGCGTGGACAAAGCATGTTACATGCATGAGTGAAGATGCCACTGTGAAGTCTAACATTGTGCATAATTAGTATGTGCTAACTAATAAATGCATATATATTGAGAACTGAATCAGTATCAAATATTGAGACTAAAGTGGGGAGAGGCTGCAGTGACAGAGAATAGCAGGAAGTAGATGAGAGATCTACTGAGCAGAACTTTAAAATGCAATCTCTCTATATATTTGGAGAACTAGGAAAAAGAAAAGCCAAAATACAGCCAAAGCAATTATTTGAGGAGATGACGGCTGATAATTTTTCTAACCAGGGCCAAATACAAAACGCAGATTCTGAGGTCTGTGAATCACAAGCAGGAAAAAATTACAAAGGGAGCAATTATGGATGAGTGCATAATAGTTAAAGTGCTCAAAACAAGAGAGATAAACCTCAAAAACCCTCATCTGGGAGATGAGTGGATGGGTTGCATTACAACCAAGGAACAAAGTAAACTATCCATGGGCTTCTTCTCAGCTACAGGTCCGATGGAGGCCAGAAAGTAAAGCAATGATGTCTGTAAAGTACTGGCACGAAATAATGCCAACAGGGAATCTATGGCTGGCAAACATATCCTCTAGAAAACAAAATGAAAAAATCCATACTGTTATGGTTTAGATAGAAAATGTCGCCCTCAAAGTCTCAAGTGTTCACAGGTGGGATTTTTGGACAGTAATTTGGTCATGAGGACTCTAACTCCATCAATAATTAATTCATTGATGTTATCACAATTTGATGGCATTACTGGGAGATCATGGACATTTAGGAGGTGGGGCCTAGGTGAAGGCGGTGGGCCATGGGACTGTAGCCTTGGGGACTGTCTGCTCACTGGCCCCTTTCTCTGTGGTTCTCCCTCCCCTCTCCACCTCCCGCACCTTTGCTGACATGGGCAGAGCGTCTCTCCTCCACCATGCCCTTCTACCGTGATGTTTCCACCTGACCACATCCCTCACTGAGCCAACTGACCATGGACCAGAACCTCTGAAACCAAAAACCAAAATAAAACTTTCCTCCTTTAAAAAAAAATGTAGTTGATGTTGGCAGACCTGGACTACAAGGTACAGTAAAGAAGTTTCTTGGCAGGTACCAAAGGAAAACACATTAATTCTGGAAGAAATAAAGGATATCAAAAATGGCAAAAGTAAAGAATGAAACTGAAGATATATTTAATCTTTGAAAAAAAGTCATTTTGTAGGGTTTTAAAGTGCTACAGAAGTAAGAAAGAGTGTAAACAGAATTAAAGTATTCTCTTGCTTTCTAGCATGCTTAAAAACATTATTATATGTTAAAGAAGCAGCTGGTAATTTCCATCATTACCATTAAAAACCTTTTTTTTTAAATTTTGTTGCAGTGAGAACTTTGTTTTCCCGGTGCTATCAAACCCAAGCCCTTAGGCTCTCTAGGCAAGGACTGTACCCACTGAGCTACTTGCACAGCCCAGAACAACTTTTTTTAAACATATAGTACCCCTATTTTAAATTATCATAATGAACTCAAAAGGTTGCATTCTATATGCAAGAGACATCTACACTGCAAAAAAAAAAACAAATAAACTTAGGGAAGAAACTTCACAAGCTGTAGGGATGGGGGCTTTTCAGAATGCTTAAAATGTTGATCCACAAAAAAAAAAACATAATTCCAAGTTGAATACTTCTAATAATAGCTCAAAATCAAGAGGAAAATCTAATGTAACTGAAAAGAATAAATGAAGAAACTACAATCATCCCAAGAGATTTTAGCACAAATTTCTCAGTAACAAAAGAACATACTGAAAGACTGTATGTTTCTTTATAACACAATTGGTAAAATTGATATAACACAATTCATAAAATTGATATCAATGTCATATTTACAGCACTGCACCAAGTAAGTAGAGAATGCTGTCAACTGATTTTTCAGAGGATTAGTCGCAATCTTTTTAAAAAATGGAGTAAGTACTAAACACCAGCCTAGAACTTTATGCCTGTGCAAATGTCCTTCTCAAAAGTGACAGTGAAATAAAAATGATAACTGAGAAAGAAAAGAGATTCAGCAGAGCCTTTGCAACAATTGATGAACCACATAACAAATCTCAACAAAATTCAAACAATTAAAATCTTGCCGTTTGTTTTCTAAACACAATAGAATTGCACTAAATAGCAATGTAGATAGCTAAGAAAACAGCTTAGAAATGCACAAGGGTCAAAGGACCTAGAACAGAAATTTAAAATATGCATTAGGAGCAAAATTATAAATATTCATAGCACATTTTATTTGACACAGTTAATATATGCTTAGAGGAAACACTAAAGCCTTAAACACAAATACTGGAAAAGAGAACAATTGAGAAGTAAAGACTAAATATCCACGTCAAGAAATGGAAGAATAAAGATAACAAGATTAGATAACTAATGAAATATAGAATAAACTATAGCTAAGATCAATAAGGTCAAAAACTCAATGCTCAAAAAGACTAAAAAAATACAAAAACCTCTAACAATTATTCAAGAAGAAAAGAGAAAATGAAAACTACCAATCTCAGAAACCAACAGAAGTCTGTCGCTAGGAACAGAGCCACCCTTACTACACTATATTATGAAGAGTGCTATAAAAATCGCTTATTATGGTAGATGAAACTGACAAAGCCATTGTAAAACTCATCTACAAAAACTATGCCAAATCCATCTGCCGTGACTAACAGAAGAAAACACAATATCTGATTAGTCTTATCTTTAGCAAAAATCAATAATTTAAAACTTTCTCTCAAGAGAGGAAAGCAACCCAGAAAAAGGTTAATTATTCCAAACATTTACCAAAGAAATAAAATCAACCTTAGCAAATAACGTCCAAAAAACAGAAGAAAGAACCCTTGCTAACTCACAGGTTCTTGTGTGAGATCATCACAACTATAACACTAACACCTCAGAGACATTATTAAAGGCAAGGAATTTAACAGGTAAACTCTCTGGTAAACTTTGTGTAGAACTCAGAAACAAAATACTAGAAAATACAATTTAGCAGTATATGTTAGAATAGGTCATGGCCAAGTCAGCTGATACTAGAAATACACAGTTTATGTCACATTAAAAAATCAGTCGGTGATAGACCTAAGTTTTCTAAACACTAATTAAAAGAGAAATCAAAATATATCATCATGTACAGGTATAAATTCCCTATGATGAATATATATATATATATATATATATATATAATAAATTATATTTAAGAAGTAAATAAAAAATAAAACAAGACCCATGAAATATAAAAAGGCTCTAATTAAAGTACATTGTAAAGCTTTCGGAGTGGGAAGAGGGACTTAGGGAAATATTTTCATGTTTTGGGGGTGGACAAACTTATCTTAGAATACACAAGGATTTAACCTTAAAAAAAAAAAATAAAATAGACCAGTACAAAATTTTTTTTTCTAAAACAAGTAAAAGAAAAAAGTAAACTAAAACCTAAACCTCTTCATGAAGGACATCATGAAGAGCGTGGAAAATAAGACACAGGAAGAACGGGGGATATTTTTCCCACTGCGTGTATCTGGCAAGAAGCCATACTCTGTCTACATTCAACATCCCTGAAAATCAGTAACAAGCAGAGAGAGAAATTAAAAAGAGTACGATTTGAACAAGTACTTCCCAAAGGAAGACTGGCAGATGGTTAGCAGACATGCTCAGTGTTAGCGTCCTCACAGAAATGCAGGTGTAAATCACAGCGATCTACTACTGAACTCACAGTGCAATGATCTTAAATAAAAGCACTGACCATAACAGCTACTGGTGAGAATGTGAAGCAACTGGAACTCTTGCACGTTTTGAGTAGAAGTATAAGATGGTTCAACCATCTGGACAAACTGCTTAGGCGATTTTTAACAAAGTTAAGCACTCATCTATTTTATGCCTTGTGATAGACATTTGTGAGGTTATTTCCTATCAATAATTTAGAAAATGTGTTATTTCCTAAGAATGTCTTGAACAAAATAATCTGCTAGCCTGCATATTACCATGGCTGCAGCGTCTGCATACTCATGCCACTTTGCACTAATTTAGATCCAGAGAATCAGATACACTGGAGAGGTGAGCAGGGCTCCTTATTGCCTGTTACCCCTGACGTATTACAGTCAGGAAAACCACTACTGTGCTAATCCTTGGCCCTTCACTTTTTTTCTTTCTCTATTTAGGCAATCCTGGCTATGCTGCTGGTCTTCACAATGGCTGAGTTGTTCATTTCTCTGTCTTTCTCCACTGTGGAGTGTTACTTAGTTGGTTGTTAGGAATGGTGCTGAAACAGCATGATGGAAATAAAGATGTGGTGTGATGTCACCTCCAGCGGAATTCTGTGTGGGAGGCAAACCCACAAGGAACAGAGACTCTCAAGGCTGGCAAGTTCTTGAAGCAAAGCAGAGTGACTCAAAGGGGGCAGGGACCTGGGGACTATGGGCTGATGCGACATATCTGCCTCCTGGCAATGCCACCTTCATCCCTCCCCAAAGAGAACGATCACCTGGGTCATCGCCTCTATTGGCCATGCAGCCTTTAAACTAAAGGACAGGAATGTGAGGTTGCCTGTGTACATACGAAGACATGGGCCCAGGACCTAGGGCCAAGAGGGAGAAGACATCAAGGGGCCCTTACTCCTGACAAGCTCCTATTGATCTCTCTAAGAGACTCCTCACAATGGCTCCTTCTCCACCGGGTGGACACAGGCTGGGTGGGAGAATGGTTTGGACCAGGGGCTGAGGGTGTGGCTCAGAGGTACAGTACTTGTCTAGCATGCTCGAGACCCAGGTTCAGTCCCCATCAACAACACACACGTACACACACATACATGCACATGCACATGCACATGCACGTGCAAGAAAAAAAGAATGGTTTAGCTCACGAACTTTGCCCGAGCTGGTCAGCTAGAACAGTAACAGTAGTAAAACTGAGGGTGAATATCCATGGAACTGATACTGTGTTCCAAGCATCACATGAAATGTTATGCCTCTTACTTATGTAATCTCACTAACAAATGGATTTTATTACTGTGCCCCAAACACAGAAGCTATGGCACAAAAACAGTAGAGATTTTCTCAAGGTCACAGGCTCACAGTGTCAGATGTAAATCAACAGGCCACCATTGGTTGTAGAGGGCCCAGTCTTCATCTCTAACCGACCACTATCTCTCAAGCTTTTTCAGCTCAGAATCTCTTCACACTCTTAAAAACTGTTGATGTGTCACTATATGTTAATATAATTAATATTTTCCCTGAAATAGCTATGTTTTCCAAAATAAAACAGTGGAGACAAAGGCGGTGATTGCTGTGCTCACTCGTTTCTGTGAAGCAACTGTTCTCAACTTGACTGTCACCTGAGGAGCCCTTGTAAACCCCAGCCCAGCACGTGCAAACACCCTGTACCAGGGAAGTCCGAGTGCAGTGAGAGTCGGGAAACAGTGCTTGTTAAAGATTTACAAAGGCTTCCAAAGCAGAGCAAAGCCTGGAAGCTGCTGCTTTCCTTTATCCAGTGGAAAGCAGCTGGATTCTCTCAGAGGCTTTGCACTTGGTCTGTCATATCTGGTATTCTGTATCCCGATATCGGTATTCTATAACCTTGCCAAAAGACAGAATAAGTTTTATTATTGTTGTTACTGTTATTATTATCAAAATAATTTGGGTTGGTGGACTCCCCGGAAGGATGTCAAGAACCCCAGGAGATTCCCAGACCATGCTTGGGAACCATGGCCTTATATTATATTGCTGTATTGCCTCTGCAGGCATCAACTGGAGCTCCAAGCAGCTAACTTTTCTGGAACCATGCAAGAAGTGTGATTTAGAATCAGGGTTTTAATCAAGATCCTTAACTCCAAATCCCATGCCAGGAAAAACAAAAACTTAGCGTGCTGAAAGAAATAGACTAACATGCGTCCAGTTCTGCTGGAAGGAGCTCAGCGTGAGAGAAGGTGATAGTCAGGGTTGTCTTGGTTACTTTTCTCTCGTTGCTGGGACAAAATACCTGACGCCCAAAATGAACGAAGGAAAGGTTTATTTTGCTTACAGTTTGTGGAGGTTTCAGTCCATACTTGGCAGATTACAAGGCAGACTGGCACATGGCAGAGAGCTACAGCTCATGGC